TACAGAGAACAGATAACAAAGTAGGCTACTTGGTTGGAGTCCGCACTGAGAGGAGGGCGACAACGGCAATCCCGTTTACCCACGCCACGTCTCTCAGCAAGGCAACAGGCAGCATACCGAGGCCGCCTTGGTTGCCCCCGCTCACAAAGCTTGCCTCCCGGGCGAGGCCCGCGTGCCCCCCCCCTCTCCAACCAAGTTTGCGCCAGAAATCACAGGTGGTTCGTTCCAAGCCGTGTACGACAAAACGATTCATGGAAACCGGACTGATCTGTGTTTGTGACGTATCTACTGAGAAAAGAAGAACCCTATGTTGCCAAGGTAGTTAAATTATATGTATGCCACTGTTGGCGTCACATAGTTTGAAAAAAGGGGTGGGGGAGTGGAAGACACGCGGCAGACCTTTATGTCCCTTTTCCTTCCCAGGTTTAGGCTTATTAGCACACGGCGCAAACAACCCGAGGGCGGGTGTTCGCATAGCCGAAATAGTCGCATCACTGCGCACCCCCCCCCCCTCGCTCCCGCTCCCAAAGTATGTTAGCACCCGGCCGTGCCGTGCGCGTCAAAGGAAGCCTCGGACCTTTCCAACCTACCAGTCAATATCATGAACGTAGTCATAAAAGGCTTATCCCGGTGTGCTGCCTCATTATATCCCAGGAAAACTCTGAAAACGCGTTCATACTAAGCGAATCAGGCGCGAAGAGCATTAGGGGCTTGTATTTTTTCGTATTCGCAATTAAATAAGCGGTCCACCGATTCTGATTAGCTGTGGAGCGCACCTAATCGGAGTCGCTCGTCAGACATGGAGCACTTGCTCAAATTGCGAAGAATGAACGCGCTCCCATATGTCCGATGACCTAGTGTTGGTCGACAAAAGGCTGCAGAACCAGTTCAGTAGTCAACGTGCTTTTTTTCGAAAGCATATCTGAAAGGAGTGGACAATCGTGTTGAGCAGGGAACCAATTGTACTATCTTTTGCTTGCAAATCAGCAACGTCACCGCCGCGCTCTCTGCCTCTGGTTCCACCGCCACGGTGTTCTCCGCCATGCCAACGAGAAAAAAAATTTACAAACTGATCATAGAAACGTTTGACAGCTGAAGAAAGCGGATTTAAAGCCAGCGTGCGGCGCACAGGTGGAGACAGGCACATACCTAATGAATTGAAGGCCCGAAAGTGAAAAGAAATCAACGGAATCAAAAAGCACTGGACAACCCACCTCGGTCTTGATGTTCGGCACAGAAGCGATCATTCGCGGTACCTTAACGATAGGAAAACACAGTCTTTGGAAACATTCTTGACATTGGAGAAATCCACGAGAGCGGACCGACCCAGGCGGACAGGCCATGGCGCGGATAGCGGAATCCGCTCAGCCCGCAACTACGGGAACAATCAGCACGCGGGTAGTACCAATTTAGAAGCCCTTCAAGGGAAATGGAGGGTAACATGTTTTACGGACCGTCGTCTCAATTATGTGAATTGAGGCATCCTACCAGGATAGCTGTCACTGCGCTCATTTTACGAGCCTTCATTGTTTTGTGAACTTCAGTAGATATGTTTTACTATCGCCGCCGGATCGGGGAGATCCGATTACCCCGTTTGACGGGTGACCTAAACTCTGGCAGAATTCCGAATGAAAGAATACTGAACAGTTCAAATAGGCGAAATCTGTTCACTGCATTACATTATAGGCTTGTCAACTAGAGCAGTTTCAAGGGGGAACAGGGAGTTCCCAGTAACTTAAACTCAGGATCCTAGGAACTAAAAATCTCTCTAAAGCCGCGTTCATAGCCTGCGACTGTGAAGAAATGCAGAAGTGCGGAAAGTGAAGGTGGATGGAATGGAGGAGGAGGGCAGTAGGATACTATCGATCTGATGCAATCAGAAATGCCGAAGGTGAAGAGCGGAATCTGCAGAAAATGGAGAGTGGGCGGGAAAGATCGATACGTATCGGTTGCTTTTCTGCACATTCCGCACTTTCGGCATTTCTGCAGATTCCGCATTTCTTCACTTTCGGCATTTCTGCATTTCTTCAAATCGATACGTATGTAATGCTTTTCGTCATTTCTGCACTTTCCGCACTTCTGCAGTTTCGGCATTTCTGCATTTCTTCAAGTCGATACGTATCTATTGCTTTTCGTCATTTCTGCAGATTCCGCACTTCTGCACTTTCCGCATTTCTGCATTTCTTCATGGTCGCAAGCTATGAACGCGGCCTAATTACCTCACCACTGAGTATCTTGTCAGTTCCTCGCTTCGACTGTTTTCTATACAATTTGGAGTTTTAATAAGGATTGATAAGGATAAGTCTCCGCAGGTGACCATCCATTCTGAGATCCGGCCTGCATTCTACTTCAATCCAGAACTGCGGTGACTTGATGAATGCGATGCGGCCTACATGAAGAGAAATGCTGGGGTCAGCCGATGTACAAGTCAGTGTTCTTATACTCTCAGAGAAATCTGGCACTAATCTACCAAGTCCGAAGAGTAGAAGGCTTGGTCAGCTTAAGCGGGAGCCAATCCAGAATCTGACCCTCACACCGTAGGCGCGGTAGACGTGTCACTTGCAACTACACCTCCGCCCTTTGGAGTTGTAATAAAGCCGAGAGTTTTTTTTACATCAGCTGCCACTCACTTCACTTTCAGACAGAAGCGAATCTAACCACAAAACTGAAATTCTCATAAAGTAATTACACAAAGGATACGAATGTAGTGGGTGCCAAACCCATCACTCTGGGCACAAAATTTGAGTAAATCAGTTTCCGCGTGCAACAACAAATTCATTCATGTAGAATCAAAACTGTTAAGTCAACTACCAGTTTCACCCATACGATTTGAAACCTACTTTACGCGCCTAAAAACTGCAAACAGCAATCAGATTTCTCAGAGGAGACACGAACAGAAATATTTGAAGAAGCAATACTGGAAGGCTTGCATTATGCAAAACCTTGGATATGCCGTCAGCTAAAGTAGTCCTTGTGCGATCGCGGCGAGTTCATTCAATTGACGCCAGGCCAACATGGCGAACCATTGTCATGAAATTTCCGTGGTTTTGAGGAGTCTTTTGAATGGATCCAGTCCCATAATTATTCTTTTGCTTTCTCAGGGACTGAACGCATCTTCTATGCTTTTCCAAGTTTTCAGGTAGACCTTGTTCAGACGGATTTGGGGTTTCTCTTACGTTTACCGGTCCTCCTTCCGAGAGCACACAGTCTGCTAGTATTTTGCATACATTCCCTTCCGATTAGGGAGCATTAGAGATAGGTGGGTTATAAGCATTCCGAGAGATCTCCTTGTTGACAGAAAGCTGAAAATTTGGATGCATAAAGATTTATTTTGAATTTCGGTCCTTTATTAATACAGCTTGTGGGCTACATTTCAAGAAATCTTCATTGCAAACAAGAAGGCATTCTTCGTTCACATCAGTAAACGATCTAGTTTTTGACAGACTTCTTGTAGTACCCGGGCGAGACACGTGGCGGCGGACAGCTCTGGCAGGGCCAACTATTCCCTTGCGGACCCGGTGGTCCTGGAAGTCCAGTGGGACCTCGTGGTCCTTTTTCGCCTTTGAGACCAGGGAATCCACGTTCTCCTCGCGGACCTTCCAGTCCTGAAAGATTAGTTTAGATTCATCAGATGAAGTCAATACACACACTTAGTCAAACTGCCCTACCATTTTCACCATCGCGTCCACGTTGCCCTTTTTCGCCGGGTGGGCCACGTGGACCCGGTTCGCCTTCCTTTCCCGGCGGTCCAGCAGCCGTGTATAGTTTCCCAGGCTCACCTGGCTCACCAGGTGGTCCCGTTAGTCCTCGGAAACCCTTTTCTCCAGGCTCTCCTGGAGCACCACTCGGGGATGGTGGGGCTGGCACACCAGCAGGGCCAGGCCTTCCTCGGAAACCGCGTTCGCCTTTTTCGCCAGGTGGACCAATTCTTCTGAAAAATGTAACAATTGAAAACATTGGAAATATAAACAACATCCGCGTTTTAGTAAAAGTAACCCCTATTGGACTGTAATTATTTGAATGAAGTTGGCGATCGAAGCTACAGTTCAGTAGGGATTACTTTGAAAACCGAACACTGATAGGTAAATTATGAGTAACTATGGTAACTTTAGGTAAACTTTTATCTACAATACATGAGAAGTACCCCTTATAAGTGCCAGAAAACGGGCAGCTTTTGTGTGGGCCTATTTGAAAAAAGTCTGTCCCAAAAGATGTTTTCTGAAATTATTTCAGAAAAACATTGCCAAGGTTTTTCGTAATGAGAAATTCGTTGGTAGCTATGGCATTTTTCCAAAACACCCAGCAGGATTAAGATAGCCAAGATTTGTGCTATTTATAAGGATCCACGCCTGTAAATAGTAGGCAAGAAAAATGAAAATGAGAGATGAAAAAAGATGAACGGTCTGTAGTGGGGAAATAGTAGTAGTGTCTCTTATTTTGCGGAGCTGAGCTGAAACGATAATTGAACAGAAAACGCAATTCAAAATTATAAAAAGTGAAACGAACCCAGGTGGTCCAGGTGGACACTCACGAATACATAATGGACGTGGGTCCAGATCGGCTGGTCGACCAACATCTCCTGGCGAACCTTTAGAAACATCAGTGGTGTATACAAAAGTAGGAAAAATGTTAGGAAGAAAAAGAAAAGGAAGAAAAAGCTACATAGAGAAGCCATGCGCAAGCAATCGGTGCGAAAGAACTTGCTAGATCCTCTTTGTAAGACGCCTCCCTTAGCTAGCTCTCATGCTTAGCTCTCACTTTACCACCTTAGCTACTCTAAGGATAAAAGTAAGTTTCATTTTACTGTGTAAAGAAAAAAAAAACCTTACCAGGAGTGCCATCAATTCCATCCGTGGAGGGACGACCTGGATATCCTTTCAATCCTGGTGGTCCAATGCAGCATGCTGAAGTAAGTACTCCTAACTTCATTAGAGGCGGTAGATTGGTACCAGATTAAGCTGGGAGGATAGGGGCACTGATAGGCACATCGGCTGGCCTCCGCTAGTCATTGTGTTGGCCAAATCACATACAATAGGCCGCTACGCTTCTGAACGGAAGTAGAATGCGTGGCGCATCAGTGAAAGGGAGTGGTTACCGGCGAAGACTTTATTATTCATCCTTTCAATGTTTCTATGGTTATTGCTTTCGAGCAGATAAAGTTGCTTGGATTGCCCATCCCTCTTAATTATGGTTAGTGCAGATCTTGCTGGTTACATAAAACGTGTCTAAAACGTGGTTGCGAAGTACCCCGGACGATGGGACCTTTCGAAGGGCTCGGTTCGGTACTGCGCTATCTTGTACTCCTGGAGTTCCTCGGGTGACAAACTGGAGGGAAAAGCTGAGCTGCGCAAACTAGCTGCTCCTCCCCACCCCCTTCCCACTCATGCGAGCTATCTTCGCTGCTCCAAGCCCAACTTCAAACAACCCAACAGTGAACAAGGCTTCACAGATGTCTGAATATGACTACACAAGGAGGTTCGACTCACAGGATACTGCCGTTTCTCCTAACTGCCATGATTTCCTTCTCTTGCAAATCCACTTTCTCCAACAGTCTCCGATCAATTCTGAAGGTGAAATCTCATTTGTTCAAGTTCCCTGCATTATGTAGAAGCATTTATGATTAAGTTGAAATTTCTCCTATTTCCTTAAATGATTCTTACTGCGCCAGGATGTTGTTCAGGTATTGGGGTATGCGAAGAAAAAGTTAACCAAAGAACGAAGCACTGGACACTGGTAGATACTATTTGGATGTGCCTACTCCCGAATTCGCCCACAATTCGCGATAGCGCTCATGAACTGAACTTACCGAAAACTAAGTGAGCTTACTCGTTTAGGGCAATGCGGTGTCAGGTAACCCTGTTCTGTGGTGCGGTAAGTTCGGTGTTCACTTATACTTACTTACAACTGCGTCATTCATCTTCCAGGTGAAACCGAGGAAGAGACTTATATATTTTGACCAATGAAATGAAATTGCAGGAGGAATAGGCTGGTAATTGGAGAGTATCTCACAGGCCACAGGTTTTCAGTAAAAACAGTACAATCAAAGTCAAGCATGCATCTCCCGCCCGGCAGGCGAGAGATGTGGGCGTGATTCCCGTCTGGGGTCTGAATTTTGTTAGGTGATTGAGGTCGACCCTCTAGAACGCACAGGTATCGTAAACTAAGAAAATCTACAAACCGGACAGTGTTGTTGGTCTATCTGCGAGAACACGTAGAGCGTATGGAACATGATCAGGGGACACAGAGCAGATGCGCAGATTACGGCCGAGACGGAAAGCGATAGGGCGACGGCAGGTGAGCCGCTCCATCGCCAAAGTGTCGTCAGCACCAGCATCTGAACTGAGGTAATCATAGAGAGGAGATTGAACGGACAACTTAGGCTTCACGTCGTAAGGCAACGTTCAGACTTCGCGACGACAGCGCTTCGGTCGCGCGTTCGACGCGATCAATGCAGTCGAAAGCATGCGCATCGATCGCGTCGAACGCGCGACCGAAGCGCTGCCGTCGCGAAGTCTGAACGCTGCCTGATTCATGATACAACCACTGTCACGGATGTTGCTAAACCAGTGAGTATGTCTCACAATCAGAGAAGTAAAATCAAAGAAAAGCAGAAAGACATTACCTACGACTATCACGTCCGGAAGCAACCCCCCTCCCCCTCAACCACCATATAGGATTCCTTTTCTTCTCAAGTAGTCTAGTGGGCGATTTCTGAGAATGCCCCTGTTTCGTCACTCTACTGTGAGTGCTGTGGCGGTCATAAGTTGAAGGTACAGTCTTGTTCGCTGCGGACGCTGGGGCTTTCCAGTGAGGCTGGGTTCGGCGTGGCGCCATCCAGTTCTAGACCCATTGTGGTTGTCTGCCAGCTCCCACAACTGGAAGAGAACAGGCTGGCGCCGCGTCAAACCCAACCCCACTGAAAGGCCGGAGTGTCCGCAACAGACAAGACTGCACTTCACCTGAGGCAGCTGCCTACTCCGACTACGAGATCTGCCTACAGTTCTGCAAACAAGTACAAGTGCCAGTCGTTCTGTGTGGGACCAGCTATTGTCTACCTCACCTTAGAAAATCCACCTTTTCGCGGATAGGAGAGCAGTCGGCGCTTTGCGGCTCTGCATGCCTTTTCTTTGATACGAAGAATACTACGCTGGAACCAGGCGCGTCCTGCCACGGGGGAAATTTCGGCAGGTAATACACTCCGCCTCTCGATTCGCTCCATCTGATTCGACCCGCCATTCCGCATACTTACCTACCACCTTTCGCAAATATCGGCACAACTTCCTACCACTTTTCAGTTTTCCCGGACCCCTAAAATTTTCTAGTTTTTCTCCAACTTTTTGCTGTCGAGTGGGGGGAGCCTCTCCACACGAGCAAATATGGGCCCTACGCCCTTAGACACCCGCTTAGAACGTCCTGAAAACAAGGAAAGTCGACTGCGCATATAAAGTTTTCTGCGACCGCCGTATATCGACCCGGCTGTAACCTCCATCGAGCAAATAGCGACTTTCCCCTCAGTCTCTGTTCCAGGTAAGTACGAATCCCTTGAAGTTCTATCGCCAAACTATTGGGCCGTCGGCGTGAATGATGGTCGCTGACAGATGCGCTCTCGTCTCCAGCTCCTGAATTTCCTGAATCGACACAGGCAAAACTGTCTTCTCAATACCTGACGGTCATCCTTCCCTTCAGGATGTGTCTCGCAGCCATACAAACCCATAACACATAGAAGGAGAATATCTCAATGTAGGATCATAAAACTAAGCTCTGTTACATTCGGCAGATGAAGAATTTACGGTGAAAAACAGTCTGTTCAACAGGAGGTTTGGGTAGACACGCCGAAATGCGGTCTCCCAAACTTTTACAGTACTATTGCCAGACAGTAAACGGCTCCTAATTTCAAGAAACGAAAGATGAGAGAACGCCTTGATATCCCTCTATCTAAGAGGATCAGAGGCAGCTGCAAGTGTGCAACTAGTACAATTACTGACTGATGAATTGTATTGTGAGTGATGTGGTGATGAAGGTCTCTTGATGACCGAGGAAGTATGAACAAGGCCACCCATGAGAATATGGTAGCCCTTTCACGACGAACACTTCAACAATAGCGAAAGTAAAAAACAAAGAAGAGTGGAGTCGACCTCGGCGGCTGGAGGACGTTTCATAAAGAGGACAACGACAGCTCATCGGGGAGTTGACTGACAGGCGCGACTCAAACTACAAAAGCGCAATGTCAAAAGCGCACTTGAGAACTAGTACTGAAGAAGGCAAAAGTAATATAGAGGTCATATTTTTAACGAAGTCAAAATCTTCCCACGAGAATGCTCGACCTTCACAAGTGCTATTGGCTGTTTTTAATGGGTGTCTGATGACTGGTTGGAGGCGAGTTCCGTTGAGAATGAGCTTTGACGAGGCCCAGTTTGTCCATCATTTCGCACCTCCTCATCCACCTCAACCGAGTGTAATTAGCCGTCGTCAATTTGGCGGTAATTATTGAGACGGTGCAGCGCTTCTCCACGAGACCAACCTCACTTTATTCCATAACGGTGTAATTCAATCGCAAGTTTCCAAATAGGGCCCCTCTTACCAATGATCGAGGACAAAACCTATTAGTGAAAAACCTAATGGTGGTTAACGAACCTGAGTGTGGTAAACAAGTTCATTTACGCCATGAAAGACAGCATTGAATGTGTGAGAGAAGAGAGGTCTTTTTGAGTTTCTTAAGTTGCAGCTTAGGTGAAACTCGAGGAAATAAGAGAGGCCCAAGCTTTGGAAAACCCCGTGTTCACGGACGATAACGGCGTTTTTTTGTTTTGGCTGAGCGGAGAAGAAAACGACTCGTTGCAGCAAGACCCGAAGTACACGAATTATCCCCGGAAGCTCCCGAGAGAATCCCTTCAGGGCGACTATGATCGTGGGGTGAAGTTGTGAAGCAGGACGATTCTGCCTTGCCCATGGGGTCTCTTCAGCGAAATGGCCTCATTTACCGAAGCAGCTGGCTTCGCCGGCTGTTGCCGGTACGCCTCCTTCTGAGATGCAGCACTGCTTCGCCGGGCAGGCGCGGTTCCGCCGCCTGGGCACCGCAGCGCTTACCTTCTTCCACACATTTCAGTACCCAATTAGTATCCGGCTTTTCTTTTATCTGAACAGATGGCCAACATTGGATGGACCAGTAGCATCATAACTGCTATTTTCAACTCTACTACAGTGTATGGAATGGTGGTTAGGAGCGTTGACCAAGTGGACAGATGAGAGAAAAGCCGGGTATTAGTCATACGAAAGCATGTAGGCGCGATGGAGCCACGCCCCGCAAGGCCTGACCGTATCCCAGAGGAGGTCTGGAGTGTCTGGTGTGCTTTGGAACCGCTTTAGGAATTTCTAAGAGTGGCTCCACCCACCTCGACGCACGCTCCACCTGCTAAGAGTATGCCTCACACTTGTAAATCTGTGACCTCTAGATGACTTTAACCTACTTTTCCCGGTGTCTGGAGTATTCTGCGACCGTTTATCGAAATTTTTTGATTTCGGCTCCACACAGCTCAGGGCACACTCCGCCCTCAGCATATACCTCGCACTTCTCAACTGACGATCCCTCGGTGACCTAATCCGTTTTCCCGGTGTCTAGAGTGTTCTGGAACCGGTTGAGGAATCATTCAAATTAGCTCCGCCCACCTCGCCGCACGCTCCTGCCACAACGGGTGTGCCTCGCATATTCCAACCTGTGATCACTTGGGACCATAATCCACTTTTTTTTGCGCCGTCTGTAGTGCTTTAGGACCAAACTACGATTTTTAAACTGGTACCTCGTGTTCAAATGCATGCCCCGCCCACTGTGGGCGGGGCCTGTATTGAGTGCTATTCACATATTTACACACACATGCACACCCACACCACCCACCACAGACAACACACACACACGGACGGACATAGCAGATTATATACAGTACTCCTCTTATGGTTAAAACTAAAGCTGCTAGGAAGGGTCACCTTGCTTTTCCAAAACAATTCCTGATCTTTGGTCGCTGTTATCTGAGAGCATGCCCAATGAGCCAAAAGTTTCGAAAGTCTTTTCGCAAATAATTTCGAAAATGGAGCACGACTGCTGTTGACCAGCTGCTATTTGCTATCTGTTATCGTTCCGCCTACTGCCGATTTTCGAAACTAACATCGCGACCACCCCTGCGTTGCTATTTAAGCACTTCGTCGGCCTTATAACTGCACTTCCTCTACAATCATGTCCCAGGATCATTCGAACCATTCCAAAACTGTCACTGTGAAACTATATATGAACCGTACGCCACGGCTCACTGTCGCCTACAAAGACAAGCATGATCTCTTTGAAACATTCAAGAAGAGGATGCAGGAACTCGGCATTCCGGCCAGGACTGTGTTCTGGATCGATGACGAGGGCGAGCCGGTGAGACTGGATAACGCTGATACTCTTATGGATGCTGCCAAGGGCATGTCGAACCTGCGTATTTATGCCTTTGATGAAGGCGATGAGGAGGAGTTCTCCTGCTCCAGCTGCGATGAGCTCAACCGCGGCCGGCGACCATGGAAGCAACAACGCGGACAGCGCTCTCGTAGTCACTCTAGACGCCGAAGCCGTGATCATTCTCGTGGGAGCCGATCTCACTCTAGAGATCGCTCTACAAGTAGCGATTCTCGCAGAGGTCATCGACATCATCACAGCTCTCATCATGGCCCCTGTCTTTTCTCCGACTACTTCACTTACCCCATGACGGACTCACGCTTCGGCCTCTGGCCACCCTTCGGCGGTTGTGCTCGCGGTGGTTTTGGAGGCCGTGGAGGTTTTGGCGGTCGTGGAGGTTTGTGCACTCGCGGTGGTGGTCGTGGCTTCCATTGAGCTTGACGTCCACTGGATATTCTGCTCTCCTTATTTCTGCAACATGCCATGATACGAGGTAGTATAGTAATTTGCGTATTCTCCTGTCCACTTGACATTGTAAGTTTATCGTATCACGCTTTCAATGTGTTGAGAAAAATCAATAAACATCGATTGAATTTGCGTTATGTTATAATGGGAACAACAGCATGAAATATTAATAAGATCTTTGAATAACTTTGGTATGTGCAGAAAAACGCGCTTGGCGCCTATGCTGTAAACAGAAGTGATTGGATTCGTTACCCATGTGACGTCAGTTACCTGCAGCTTTCACACAAATAAGTCCGCAACATGGCCATTAGTTAGGCGCGGTGTGAGAAGGTAGGGATGATCCCACCTCCTTCAGCGCACATCATTGTTGGAATTCCCCAACAGGGGGTCGTATTTGGCGGCTGGGAGAGGGGAGGGTCGTGCTTGGGCTGTGAAAATTTTTTTGAGGTCGTATTCCCCTTCGACCGTCTGGGAGAGGTTGCTGACTTTCCCTTGCTTTTTCTGTTTTACATAAAAATCCGGAAAAGTGGTAGGAAGTGAGGATAAAATCTAAGAAATGGTGGAGGGTCGTATTTCCCCACCATCGACAGCTAGATGAGGAGGTGACCAGGGGGTCGTGCCAACCGCCTAAAAAAGATGGGGGGATCGTACGGATTGGTCCATTCCTCTTGATACCAACCCGAAGCGATGATACCAATTGTACGTAGGTGGTTGAAAATGAATGCAGAGGTGAAATATAAGAGTGAGGTTCGTCCTTTCTAAGCGAGGCCCACTGAGAACTCTCCTTGTGGTCTGTAATCAGGCTGACTATCCCAAAGGAACTGTAAGGTTATCGAAGACCGTTATCGGTCAAGGTTAGGGGGTTATCAAAGATATGACAGTTGTTCAGTTGTTTAACAGTTGTGGAACTATCCATAGCAAAAAACAGTTTATTATAAGCAGGAATGCCTGAAGTAGCTACTAGATGAGCTGAAAAGTTGTTTTGCGAAACATCTAGTAGTATTCCGGTGAGGGCTAGTCTCTCAGATTGACGGAAGTAGTGGGGTTTCAAGTACCGCTACTTACCACGCGCACGGCTGTTACTTACATCGCGCGACGGCTGCTCAAAAGTGAATCCTCGTCGAGCTCCACCAGGGCTTCAGTCATGTTACAGAATTCTGTGGGAGGAATTAGAAACACTGGATGGTGTACGATCGACTCGTTCACCGTTAGCCATCGTTTATTTTCCGTCCCGCTATTAGAGTATGCGGTAGGAAAATCTAACAGCCGGCGCCGAGTGGGCGGCGCGGTGCGCGTCGCACACGCTTGACGACGAGGTTTGGGTGGGTATTGTCGGGGAGGTTTAGAAATGT